GCCTTGTAGGGGTTTTTGATGCAATTACAAGATCGGCTGGGGGGGGGGGGGGGGGTAACGCTGTTAATGCCACACACCCAAACCTCTGCAGAGCGTTGCCCTTGCTAACATCCATGATATTTTGATTCCAACATCAGTGGGTCCACCGACACCGTGGGACATCCTTGATGCATTAAAACTTGGCTGACACTGCAGGGCCTGAGATCTGAGCAGGGAACGTGCAGCGAGTGGGTCTGTTTCCACTAGAGCCAACAAATTCGATCTGTGCCTCTGGGCTGTTGAACATTTTTATCAATGACCCAGGAGAGAGCCCAGAACATCCCCAATACCGTTAGCTGATGACATGGAAGTTGTAGTGTGGTAAATGCTGAGGATGATGGGTTCTTGATACAGCAACCCCCGACACCTCGGGGAGCTGGGTGCATTTCGGTACAAACACACGCCAAATCACACCTCCAGGGACAAGGATGCCAGAGTCCCAGCCTTCCCAGTCCCACAGGGATCCTTCCAAAGCACCCAGAGAAATGCCACTGCCAAAATGATTAAGGAAAGGGGGGGTGTAGGAAGAGGGAATCTCAGCATCCCCTCTGGCACGCAGCTGATCACCACGAGCATCCTGTGCGTGGGGAGCTGGAGCTGCCAAGGGAAAGGCTAAAGCGGTGCCAAGGGGCTGGGAAGCGCCAAAAAAGCTGGCTGAAAACCTTACCAGAGGAGTGGAGGCCAAGGATTACCCACGAACAGGCACAGAGAGCACAGAGGTGTGGCGATGGACAAAGCTCCCAGCGCTAGGCACAGCAGGAATGACCTGCTGGAAGCGTTTAATGGGCAGTTCTCCATCTCTGGAAACATTTCCAGCACTGTTGGCTGCATCTGCTCCAGTTCAACCAGGAATGCTTCCTGGAAGAGCTTGATTATCCCTAGAGCCTTGCAATTTATTGGCTGGGTCCAGCATTATCAGTGGGGGCCCAGACCCGAAACAGGCAGAGAGCCATAAATAGCCTCTCATCATCAAAACATCACGTCCTGCTCGGACATGCCCTTCTCCAGCACTTTGGGAAGCTGTGTGACGCTCCAAGCCCTTAGCACATACTTTGGCCTCCTCTGAATCCCAAGCACAGCTTGTCTAGGAAAGACCCTCACTGCTTCCCACCCCTCTGGGAAGGAGGGATGGCTCTGGGTCCTTGTGTACGTGCACGGCACGATCTGCACCTGCATCCTCCACACACGGTAGGATGGGGGCAAATCTGCTGCCCTGGACATCAAAATAACATAAAGCACAGGCAGGGAAGGAGGCCCACCTCCACCTTGGGCTAGAGGATCACAGAATCCCTGAATGGTCTGGACTGGGAGGGACCTTGAAGCTCATCTTGTTCCAACATCCCTGCCGTGGGCAGGGACACCTTCCACTGGAGCACACAGCTCCGTCCAGCCTGGCCTTGAACAATTCCAGATGGGGCAGCCACAGCTTCTCTGGGCAACCTGTGCCAGGGCCTCACCACACTCACAGGGAAGAATTTCTCCCCAATATCCCATCTATCCCTGCCCTCTGGCAGTGGGAAGCCATTCCCCGTTTTCCTGTCTCTCCAAAATCCCTCTCCAGCTCTCCTGGAGTCCCTTTAGGCACTGGAAGGTGCTCTCAGGTCTGCCTGCAGCCTCCTCTTCTCTAGGTAAATACCCCCAGCTCTCCCAGCCTGGCTCCAGAGCAGAGGGGTTGCAGCCCTTGGAGCATCTCCATGGCCTCCATGGGGACCCCCAGAGCTGGAGGCAGCACTGGAGGAGGGAGGTCTCACAAGACTGAAGCAGAGAGGCAAAGAGCAGAGAAGAGGGGCAAGAAGAAAACAGCTGGCAGCCTGAAACTCAGGTTTCTCCTCTTCCCATCAGGTCACCAGCTCCTCTCCTCCTCAGAAATGCTTGTGACCCCAAGGGGTGACACCACACGTCTCTGATAGCCAGAGAGTGTCACCAGCAGCTTCTGCAGGGCAAAACCATCCCTTGTCACCCCGGCAAGGCCAGGGATGTCACCCCATCCTCGGCGCCGTACGGGCGCAACAAAGAGAGAATTCCGGGACAGGAGATGCCCTCCCGTGATGGAGAGGGGCTGGAGAAGGATGAAGGGCTGGATTCCTGGGCCCAGCAGCGATCCCTGAGCAGGCAGAGCCCGTGCAGGCACCGTCCAGCCAGGCCAGAGAGAGCAGCAGCACAATGGCTCTGCCTCCGCCGTGGCTGAGCGGAGCCAATGGCTACGAGAGGCACGGGGAGAAATGCACTGAATATGCTGCATGGGAGGGACGGGGAGGGGGGGAGAGAGGGGGGAGGCGCAGACAAAGAACAGGGAGATGGAGAGAAAAGACGCAGGCAGGGAGCAGGAGGTGAAGTGGGGAGGACAGGGCTTGGGGGAGGCGCAGCCCAGGAGCCGGGAAGCGGAGGGGAACGGGCAGCCAGCCCCTCGCACGGCCCTGCGGGACGGGCGAGCGAGGCTCCGGCAAAATGAAAATCTCTTAACCACACAGAATTGTTAACTGCCCCCAAATCCTTTTGTGCTGGGGCTGCGAGCTTAGAGGAGCTTAAGCTGTTAGATGCATGAACTTCCTCCATAAATATCCCCGAAGCGCAGCGCTGCGAGCAGCCCGGCGCTGTCAGCCGGGCTGAGAAATCCAGTGGGGAAAATGAGCAGCTCCTTCCAGCTGCTGGCCATTCCTTGGGATACCCCTTCTCCACCTGGAGCCCTTGGAGGGGCAGGACCGTGTCCCCCCCACACTCCCTGCTACGTCCTGTTGGGGCACCCGAGCCATGTGAGAACACTTCACCCCAAAAGCCGGCTTGGATTTGCTTTTGTTTTGCTTCTGGAAAGGGGCCCAGATTCCCTCCCACCCCTGGAAACACGAGCAAACCTGCCAGCCACATGTAGGAGTGAGTTCCCCGAGCCAGGCGGCTCCGACGCTGCCTCTGCAGGGAGCAGGGCCAGGGCCAGGGCGGGAGGTGGGCAGGATGCAGGGCTGCATCCCACAGGTCCTTCCTGAGCCGAGCTGGGGCCACCAGCCCCTTCCCCAGACCTTTGTGGGGCTCACTGGGAGGGCTGGGAGTGGATGGGGATGCCCTGACTGTCCTGCCGACTCCGTGGCTGTCCCAGTCCCCGCTCTCCTTCTGGGGGATGCTGGGGGGAAATGGACGGGGTGTCCCAGTCTGGCACAGTCCTGGGGTGCCATCCAGCCCTGATCCAGCCCCACATGGGAAGGGGAAGGAAGAGGAAGGGAAAGATGGAAAGAGGAAGGGGAAGAGGAAAGGGAAGGGGAAGAGGAAAGGGAAGAGAAAGGGAAAAGGAAGGGGAATGGGAAGGGGAAGAGGAAAGGGAAAGAGAAAGGGATAGGAAAGGGGAAAGGAAAGAGGAAGGGGAAGGCAGCCCCAGAGCCAGCTGCCCCACAGAGATGTCGGGCTGCGGCCACTGAGTGATTAATGAGGGCGGGGAGAGCGGGACCGGGCGAGCGCCAGCACCGGCTGGAGAAACAGCTGCCGAGGTACTGGACCTCCCAAAATCCTGCTGCTGCTGCTGCTGCACAGACAAAGAGGGCCCAGCCCCCCCCTCCTGCTTGCTCCCTCCACCTTGGCCCCCGCTCCTGCCTCCCCTCCAGCCCTGTGGGCTCTGTATGAGGGGTTTTGGGAGCCCTGGGGCACGTGAAGGGACTGTCCCTTGGCTGGGCTGGCAGCGGGACCAGGGAGCCCCCAGGAAAGCCCAGTTGCATCAGAGCAAAGAGCTGCACAGGGCTGGGTCTGCTCTGGAAAAAAAAAACAGGCTGAGATGGAAAAGTTGCCGTGAATCGTTGGGGCTTTCTGGTGTTGCTATGGATGCTTTGCTTGGGAGTTGAAAAAGGCCTGTCTACCCTCCGAGGCAGGGATTAGGCAGGCTCAGTTTCCAGCATTACCTCCTTGCTGTCTCCATCCCCATCCCTGCTAAGGCTGGTAGACACTTGATCTCCCGAGCTTGGTGGGAAGAGGTGTTCAGTGGCCAAGTGAGGAGCAGCTGAAATCGTGGACATTAAATGACCCCCAGAGCACACCAGGACCTAAACTTTTGGCACATGAGCCAACTGATCTCAGAGACTCTGCTTGGAGTGTGCTGATACCGTTGGAACTGCAGTGGGATTTGGATGTTCAACCAGGACACGGGGGGAGAGGATCCCGTGTGCCAAACACTGCGGTTTGCTCCGTGCTTGGTACAGCTGCAGGTGCCCATCACACAGCTCTTGGGTCCCCATCTCTCTCCCAACAACCCCAGTCGTTCCTTTCCCAACTTTCCCAAGTGTGACTGGGGGGGAGCACGGAGGGAGGGTGGTGCAGAGCCTCTCACTTGCCTGGATGACACCGAGCTCAGCAGGCACTCATGGAGCCTGCTTTGAACGCCTATAGGGCAGGAGAAAATCTATAGGGACAGGAGAACATCTACAAAACAGGAGAGCATCTAAGGGGCAAAGAGGCAGAACATCTACAGGGCAGGAAACCTCTGGCTGTTGAGGGCCAGCTGAACAGCACGTGTTCCACCCTCGGCCATTTGCACCTCGCCAGGAAAATGCTGTAGACAACTTGTTCCCTCCCACTGCACCCCCTCTGGGAGCCTGCACTCCCACTGCCCTCATCCCAGAAGCAATTCAGCCCACGCCAAGGGCACAAACCAATGAGAAAACAGCCCCAGTATTTTGGGAGGCAACAGCCGATGGGTGACACGCGCCACAGCTACACACACACGTCCCATCCGAGAGCATGGATGGCACCAGCAACAGGCGGTTGGGAACAGCGGCCCTGGGGACCCAAGAAATCAGGTAGAGCCTCTGCAAATGGATGGATGAGCCCAGGGCAGGAACTGAGGGGCTGGGGAAAGAGTCGGCCTCCACCCCTGCCCAAGGAGGTCACTGCCAGCTGATTCATGCAGACCCCAGGAGCAAACCCCAACCGCCAGCCCCGGCACAGAGGCGAGCGCTCAGGGCGGGGCCGAGGCCCGTGGTTACCTCTGCAGACGGTCCCGTTCTCCACCGACTCGTAGCCCGCCCGGCACATGCAGCGCCCGATGGGCACCAGCCACTCGCCGTCCCCGTTGCAGTAGAGCTTGATGGGCACGTCCACCTCCTCGGCGTTGGCGATGCACGTGCCCCGCGCCGCCACCAGCGAGGTGCTCTCCGCCCCCGAGAGGGTCTCCTGGAAGACGGCCCCGTTCTGGATCACGCGGGGGCACTTGCGGTAGAAGACGCGCACGGCGATCAGGGACATGCAGCCCCCGTAGTCCTGGAAGGCCAGGTAGAAACCGTTCTTGGAGACGGGCCCGAAGCTGCGCACCTCGGTGTTGATCTTCATCACCCGCCCGCCCAGGTCCACCTGCGAGAAGCTCTCGTCGGCGGCGATCGTATCCACCTTCATCCAAGGATTCTCCATCCAGTTAGGAAAAGTCTTGGTGGCCGAGTCAAAGTCCGACTCGAAATAGTAGAGGTTAAAAGTCTCCTTACAGGAGCCTGGGACGTTTGGGATGCTGCTGCAGTCCCGGACCGAGAATTTCATCTCCACGTGGATGCGGTGTGCTCCTCGCCTCCAGATGTACTTGGTGCGCAGCCAGTTGTTCTGGGAGGACTCGAAGACGTTGCACACCTGGTAGGTGCGAATGGTGTTCATGTTCTCGTCGTATCCGCTCACCTCTTCCCACTGCGGGCACGACACAGAAAGTCAGGGGGCTGCGCTGAACGGATGCTCCCCACCCTCCTCGCCTCTTCCCAGCCCCACTATGAGCCCCAAGCAGGCTCTGCCAGCACCAGCTGCCCCCACTCTGTGCCCAGCATCACACCCCAGCCCGGTGGGGTTTGACCCACACCACACCCAAGGCGGGCTCTGCACTGTGGGGGCAGCGGGACCCAAGCCCTCAGCAGAGCTTGGGGCCACCTTGCTGCCACCATCCATGCTTGAATTTAGGGTCAAGCCTCTCTGCTGGTGGCAGGGACAGCAGGGTCTCCTCGACAGCAGGAATGGCTTTGGCAGGGACTCTGCCCGCACGGCTCAGCCTCCGGCAAAGGAACACGATGCCTCGAGCAGGTGGATTCCCATCAGTGCCACTGTGGTTACAGCTGTAGCAAACAGGACCCCCTTCCCCAGGAGTCACAAAGCCTCCTGGCCAGCTGCAGAGGCCAGTGGCCAGTGCCTTTCCCAGCGGCTTGAATGGACCATAGCTGACCCCACTGCATTCCCAGAAAGGGAGATGCTGGGTGGGTCCCTCTGGAGCCCCCATCCCTGCCCCTTTGAGGGTCAATGCCTGCAGGTGCCAGCTCCAGCTGTCCTAAACTGGATCTATGGGATGCAGACATGCCTACGAGCCGTGGCATGACAGCAGCATCCTTCTCAGCAAGGCAGCTCGGAGCTGACAGATTTCCCCACGGGAAGCTCAGCCCACTCCCCCCAGCTGACTGACTCTGCCAGCTCTGGAGGAGGCTCTGTAGAGCTCACAGAATCACAGGATCATAGAATATCCTGAGCTGGAAAGGACCCACAAGGATCAGTGTGTCCAACCTGAACCTGCCCTGACACAGCTCCAGCTGTTCCCTGCGTCCCCACAGAGTTCAGGGTTGCTGTGGCACCTTCTGGCCCTTTTCAGCTCCCTGCCTTTTTCCCAGGCTGTTTTTTTCTCAAATCCTTCAGCCTGTTATCTTCATTCTGTATAGGATGGGGATACTCCAGGGTGGGGGACACAAACCACAACCCTGCACATCCTATCACAGCACCCAAGGCAGCACAGCCCTGACCCAGCACCAGCGCCAGGACCGAGTCCACGGGGAAAATCCTGCAGGAGCAGAGCATCCCCAGCCCCTTGGGTTGCAAACGGCCTCACGAGGGCACCCAGGACTGGGGAGGGAGGCTCAGGAGATGGGAGACAGATTGCTCCTCGCACATCAAGGCTAACAGCCCAACAGAAGGCTGTCAGGAAAGATCCCCAACAGCTCCAACCACTTCAGATTGGCAGTGGCTGCAAATCTGCTGCCATGGCTGGGGGAGGAGAAGAGCATACTCGCAAAAAAAAACAGCAGAAGCATTTGCTTTGTTTTCCAGAAATAAATTTGGTGTGCTGGTGGAAAATTGCAGGATCTCCCCCCATTTTTCAGGGCACTGGTTGGGAGGGGAGCAAGGGAATCAAGGACAAGTCACAGGGAAGCAATTCTTTGCCCTGCCCTGTGTCTGACGTGGCTGTCACTCACCTGGGCCACTCCTGACACCTACCTTGTCAAGCCACCAAGACCCAGGGACCCCCAGTGCTTCTCCATCCCCATCCACACCTGCCCAGCCCCCAGGGACCTGAGAGCACCCCGGGGTCCAGGCTCAGGACCCCCCAGCATCCTCCCACATATCCAGGGAGTGGTTCCCAACCTCCCTCTTCCCAGCTGGGAGAGAAAGTCACCCCTGCACACCGGGCCTGCCTGCGCTTCCTCGGCGCTTAATTAGAAGCCTCTCCCTTTCTCCTCGCTCTCTAATTAACATGCCGGGAGCTCAAAAGGAGGCAGCAGCACAATAACCGGGGGGGAGAGACGGCTTCCAGCAGGCCCGGGGCCTCATTAGGCGGGGGCTGGGGAGCAGGAGCAGGGCGTGCTTTACATATGGAAACACCGCAAACAAGAAAGGCTGGGCCGGGGGAGAAAAAGACTTGACCTCTGCTCCCCCCCATTGTGTGCCCATCATCAAGCCTCGGGGGGGGGAACGGGGGGTGGAACTGGCCAGGCTGGGTGGGGCTCAGGCAGCACCAGCATTATCACGGTGATGGCACCAGGCTCGACACGCCGCTCGGAGCTGGGATTGATCTCTCCACAAGAGGCTTCTCTTGGCTGTTTCTCTCCTGCCAAGTCGGTTCGGGGGGTCTAGGAATTGCTGTCAGCCCGGTGAGGTCCACAGAAACATCTTCATCCAGTCTCTGTGGAGGGTGCATGGAGGGCAGGACGAAGCCTGAGCCACTGCCACGCGCAGGCGTGGGAAGCATCTTCCAGGCATTTGCCAGGCTGGATTGGGCCACCCAAGTGTAAGGGAGCAGGTCTGGGGTGTTGGGCAGGCACTGAGGTTGCTGCTGGTCACCACAGCCAGAGCTGGGCAGGATGCTCTGAAGCATCTCAGTGCCCCACGGGGGACAAGGAGGTGGCTCCGCTCTGGTTTCCCATCACGACTGGAAGGGCCGGGGACCACAGAAACACAGAATACACTGAGTTGGAAGGGACTCACAAGGATCATCCAGCTCAACTGCTGGCCCTGCACAGGGCACCTCAGAAATCCACCCTGTCCCTGAGAGCGTTATCCAAACCCTCCTGGAGCTCTGGCAGCCTTGGGGCTGTGCCCACTGCCCTGGGGAGCCTGTTCAGTGCTCAAACCACCCTCTGGGGGAAGAACCTGATGCACTGCCTTGTCCAAGCTCTTCTCTAAAGGAGGTTGTGCTGGGTGGTCGTCAGATGTGGCTCAGGGGACTCCTGGCACTGGTAAAGCAGAGAGACATTGCTGCTGAGTCAGCAAATGACTCTCCATGGGATGCCAGGGATGCCGGACAGTCATTTCAGGCCCCGAGGCCAATGCCCTCATCCTGCTACAAGTGAGACACTGGGGACAAATGAGGGTGGCCTTGGCGTTTTGTTTCTTCCCCTCTCTTGATTTTTAGGTGGCTACAGGCTGGCTTCATGGAGAGTACAAGTCCTCCAACACCCCACTGGCCTGATTCTGTGGGGTGAGAATTACACCCCCCTCCAGCACTGGGGTGTTTTTTTGGAGCACGACCTCCTAGAAAACTACTGGAAACCTCAAATGCCCAGCTCTCTTTTATCCTCTTCCCACCAGATGCTTCAAGTGGCCAAGGCACTCTGCTCACTCTGCTTCAGTGCCTGACTTTTGTTGAGCCAACCCTCCTACACTGAAGTGCAGCAGGAGGCCCCAGAGCAGCTCTGGAAGTGCTGATGACTTACCCCTGATGGAGGATGCACCGTCCAGCCCAGCTCTGCTGTTGCTGTTGTGGAGTCCATCAGTGTCTCTGCAGGAGGAAGGGGAAACACGGAGTCATTGCAGGTTGTGAAAGGACTGAAGATGGAAACGGGGGGAAAAAAGCAGAGAGGAGCCAGCCCAGGGCTGCAGAGATGGAGCCCAGCCCACGCTGAGCCCTCGGGCCACATCTCTGCCAGGGGGGAGCCAAGTAGTGTTCACTCCACCCATCTGCTCCCCTATCCATTGCCAATTGCTCCCTGGCCTGCACGGAGAATCATGGATTCACAGAACCGGTAAAGCTGGAAAACATCTCAAAGGTCATCAAGTCCAACCACCAGCCCAGCACCAAAACCGTGTTCACCATTAAACCATGTCCCCAAGTGCCACATCCACGTGTTTTTGAACTCTTCCAAGGATGGGGACTCCACCACTGCCCTTGGAAGTCTGTTCCAATGCCTCACCACCCTTTCCATGAAGTATTTTCCCCTCATATACAATCTAAACCTCCCCTGGTGGAACTTGAGGCTGTTTCTACTCATCCTGATGCTTGCTCCTGGGAGCAGGTCCCCCCATCCTCCCCAGCTCCCCACTCCTGTCAGGGAGCAGGGATCTTCCATCACCTTCCAGTTCCCTTTGGAAAACAGGGTATTCTTTCCTCGGCACTTTGCACAGTCAGAATCCTCAGAGATGCAGCAGCATGTGTGGAGGAACAGCACTTTTAGGATTTAAAAGTACTGAAAAATTAAACCAGTGTTAAAGCTGGTTTTCCAGATGGTTTGGGTTGAAATAGGTCAGGTGATGCTACCACCGACCAGCACAGGCAAATCTCCCGAAGCCAAACAACAGCAAAGCCTCCTCGCCCTTTCTGCAGCTCATCACACTTCCAGCACTGGGATTTCCTTCATCCCAGAGAGCTGCAGGTTGGTTTAACTCCATAAGGAGAGGCATAAGAAGAGGTGCTCAGGTTATGGTGCTCCAATACTTGGGCTAACACGACCCACCAGAAATACACTGGACACTCAGAATCACGGCATCAAGGTTGGAAAAGCCCTCTAAAGATCACTGAGTTCAATCATTAACCCAGCACGGCCATTTTCACCACTAAACCCTGTCTCTAACCACCACATGTTTTTAACACTTTCAGGGAGTGTTCAACAGTGTTTTTTGAACACATTTTAGATACTTCCAGGAGTGGTTTCCACAGTCTTTAGTATCTCTCCCTCCTCCAGGCCTGCAGCCACACACAGCCCAGGTTGCTCCAAGCCCCATCCAACCTGGCCTTGGACACTTCCAGGGATCCAGGGGCAGCCACAGCTTCTCTTGGCAACCTGTGCCAAGGCCTCACCACCCTCACAGGGAAGAATTTCTTCCCAATATCCCATCTATCCCTGCCCTGTGGCACTGGGAAGCCATTCCTCCTTGTCCTGTCACTCCAGGCTCTTTTCTCATTCCATCCCTCCACTAGACCAGGTTGCTCCAAATCCTGTCCAACCTGGCCTTGGACACTTCCAGGGATGGTCCCACAACAGGAATGGAGAGTTACTGGCTGTAACCAAGTCCTTCTGCTGCTCCTCCCCAACAAAAAACCAACCATCCTGCCACAGACCCCCCCCCCCACCCAAAAACCATCCCCACCTTCTCCACTTTCACTCCACTGAACAGAAACAAAGAAAAGTTCAGCCCTGAGCAGACCCATCACTGAAGAGACAGAGGTGGCTGCTCAGCACACAGAACCTTCCCTTTCCCACTGGCACCCCAAAAGGTGCCTCGGCACCACCCTCCTCCTCGCACCGACTCCTGGCAGTAAATCCCTCTCAGGCTGTGGGTTGTTCGTTACTCCTGGTCCGAGCCAGCGGTTTTCCAGCTCACAGGAAACCAGGATTTCAAAATTTGGTTTTATTCCAAGAGCCAAAAAAAAAAAAAAAAAAAAAAATGAAGCAAGAAATAGATCTCTTCAATTTTTCCCACTAGGAAGAGCTCTGGAAAACAGCTAATCCCAAAATGTTGCGGGTCAGATTTGCGAAATTTCTTTTTTAAACTGAGTATTTGTTTACACAGGGCAATAATAGTGTTTATTTTATCAGAGGATCTGGCTTTTTCATTAAAACACTAGTGGCGTTCGATCTGAAAGGAAAACAACATTTTTCACCCAGCGCTAGCAAGAAGCTTTAAAACCCCCTTAAATTTGTTACTTTATCTTAACTATCAATGACAGTGGTGCACAGTAAGTACATTAATAGCAGCGACTATAATATAAAAGAAGATATATTCTAACCCATTACAAATAATACCCCAAATAAACCTCATACTTTGAAGCATTTTGCATTTTTAAAAAGCCTTTTATTTAATGAAAACTCAGTGCAATGGAAATGTCATGCTCAGTGCACCACAGCTTCCAGCCTCTTATCCTGAGCTGAACAATCCCCTCGGAGCTCTGCATCCACCCTGGCTGGCCCAGGGACAAGGAGGAGAAGAAATCTGCAGGCTTTAAGCAAGTTTTTCCAATGGTCAATTATCTTCTCGTAAAAAAACACCAGATATTCCATTAATTTTAGTCTGGATTTACACCGTTTGGCTGCCAGCTTTTGGATTTCCTTTTCCTTCTACAAAGACTCTGCTGTCCAAAAACCTCCTTTCCCGCTTGTGGTGTTCATGGGTGGCAAATGATCCATCTCCAAGACAGCAAAATTACCTGAGCTTCCTTCTTCTACCCTAAACCAGGTTCCTGTCTTTGAGGCTCCTGTTGATCAGCCTTGATTGTGTAGATGGGGGTCCAAAGGCCGTGGTTCCCATTACACACAGTTGTAACATTCCAACATCCCAGTTCTGGGATCAAACACTGCAAACTTGCTCAGTGTCCCTTCCAGTCCTGCATCCAACCACTGATGGAGATGCTGGAGAGCACAGGGCCCAAGATGGAGCCCTGCTGAACCCCACTGGTGACAGATGACAGTCTGATGTCACCCCAGTCACTGTCACCCTCTGTGCCCGACCCGTGAGCCAGTTGCTCACCCAGCACAGGATGTGTTTATCCAGCTGTGGGCTGGACAGTTTGTCCAGGAGGATCCTGGGAGAGACAGGATTGAAAGTTTCACTGAAATCACCACCTGGCTTCCCTTGATCAGGTGGGTCACATTGTCACAGAAGGAAACTGGATTGGATGAGCAGGACTTTCCCCTCATGAAGCTGTGCTGGCTGTGAACAAGGACTGTGTCGTCTTCTGATTGTTTTCCAACACCCAAATAATCTCCTCCATAACTTTACCAGGCACTGAAGTGAGACTGACAGGCCTGGAGTTCCTGGGATCCTCCTTCTTGCCCTTCTTGAAAATCAGGACAATGTTTGCCAGATTCCAGCCAGCTGTGACCAACCTGGATTCCCAAGACCACTCAAAAATCATCAGGAGAGTTTTTGCAATGACATCAGCAGCTCTACGAGGACTCCTGGTGAGTCAAATAATCCCAGAATGGTTTGGGATTGGAAGGGACCTTAAAGCTCATCTCGTTCCACTCCCTGCCATGTGCAGGGACACCTTCCACTATCCCAGGTTGCTCCAAGTCCCATCCAACCTGGCCTTGGACACTTCCAAGGGTGAGAAGTCTGCAGCCTCTCTGGGCAGCCTGTTCCAGGTGCACCCAGGACGTGGATCCAGGCTGTGGGAGCAGCAGGGGTGGGAGCCTGGCCCCTGGCCCACCTCTGGTGGCTGCGATAGCTGCGGCTCAGCGTGACCATCTCTCCACAGCAGCATTTCCTCAGTGTTGTCGCTTGTGCTCTTCCCTCCCTCGTGTTTATCTGCAGCCTCACATGCTGCCCACGGCATTATAAATAAATCTGCAGCTGCTCGAGACCAGCAGACACAACTCTGGCCCGCTTCCCACCGGGAACTGCTGCTTCCCACGGGATGCTCTGAGATAAGTGCCTGTCCTTTTCACTTTGAAGATGTTCTCAATAAGCAGCCCCGTTGCTGGAGCTGCTGCCGTCTCCGAGGGTGTGCCAGGGCTCTGGATGAACACTTGGCATCCCAAGCTGCATCACCACCACCACCGCACCACCACCTCCAGATGCTCAGCAGCCACGCTGAAACGCTGTCATGCTGATGATCTGCTGTGACAATGACCTGGGAGGGAGTTCCTGTGCTTCTGCTGGGGCTTCCTGCTGCTCAGCCACAAGTGAGATGAGTGGGGGGGGGGGGTTCTCAGCTGCACCAGCTTTTCTCATCTGGCCAGATCAGGACTGAAACTGGTGGGCAGAGCCGGGAGGGGAGGACAATTCTGGGTGCAGGTAGTGATGGGACACCATCACCATCACCAGAGTGGGGATGGAGAGTGGCAGGACCAAGGGACAGCGGCAGAGGCTGGAGGTGCAAGGGATTAACAGAGGAGCTGTGCATGTTGCAGACACACTTCTCTCTGTCCAGAAAAATAACTTCCATGGAGTTTTGCCAATTCAGACCAATTTAGAGCATCTGGCCCTGAGTTTCTCAGAAGTCCTGGCAAATCTTTCACATTCACAGGCTCCAAGCTCATCCAGATAAAGAAACAGCTGGACAAATAAATAGCCCCACAGATAGTTGGAGCCTCCACCCTCATTTTTCCATCCACAACTTCTTCCCTTCCCTTTTCACTCCTCACACCAGCTCCTCTCTCAGGGTAGGACACTTGCCAGCATTTCAGTCCTGGTACAATATTAACAACACAAGGAGTGATCTTCTCAGGGAGCCACGACTGCATCAGCTGGTGCTGGATGTGCAACGCAGTCAAGAAATTGTCCAGACCTCTCAGATGGGTTGGGAGCAAAGTCAGAGCCAGCAGGAGATCACTCCTTGTCACCATGTCCCAGACATGACCCGGAAGCCCACCCAACACACCTCATCAGCTCCGGGCTGGAGGGATGCTCAGTGTCAGAGCCCAGCCAGGTGGAGCAAGACCAGGATCCACACCGGAGACACCACGGCTTGGGATGAGCTCCTCCATGCAGGAACATGTGCTCCTGGAACCACGTTCCCATCCTGGCCTCAGGCACAGCCACAGCATCCTGGGGCAGGG